CCTGCGCCTTTGCCTCGGCCGGCGCTCCCGCCACGACCACCGGCTACCAGCCCGCGGGCTGCGCGGGGACTCGGCCGGCCAACCCCTCGGCCTACTCGGCAGCTTATGCGGGCCCCGACGGCGCGTATCCTCAGGGCGCAGGCGGCGCGCTCTTCGCCGCGACTAGCCGCCTGGCAGCCGCCGGCTCGCCCCCAGCGGGTGGAGGTGGGGGCGGCGTCGAGGGCACAGTGGACTTCTATGGGCGCACATCACCCGCTCAGTTCGGAGCGCTGGGGCCCTGCTACAATCCTGGCGGGCAGCTGGGGGCGGGCAGTGGAGGCTCCTACCACGCTCGGCATGCGGCCGCCTATCCTGGCGGGGTGGATCGGTTCGTGTCCGCCATGTGAGCCGAGAGTAGGGACGAAAACTCTTAGACACCTCGGCAGTCCACACGAACTAAGCTCCCCGCGGCCTGAGGACGGAGCTGCTGAAAGGACCGAATTGGGAGCCACGTGGAAGAGGCCGAGCGGACTGGAGAGGCGCAGGCCCCTGGCGCACCCCCTACACGCTGAGTTCGCTTTGTAAATGGGAGGGGGTGGGGAGAGGCAGCTGCAACACGACGGACTGGGACAAGGGACACTTGGTGGGGCGAACCCCCAAAGGACACGCCTTTGTCGACTCCTACCGGGGAGGGTTCTTGGCGATAAAGGGGAGTATCTACACCCGAGTCCAGGATCCGAATTGTGGGGAATCACAGTTTCACCCTTCCCGGTGCTGTGCGAAACTCAGGCCTCTTGTGCCTTTGACTGTGTTACTACAATAAAAGGCAACCTTCCTTCCCCTTAAACTGAGGAGTCCAGGTTTGCAGAAGTAACCTTTAAAAACATATATATATATAATCTACTCAGAATGATCGTGGACTGGTTTTCCTTGCCTCTGAGAACCGTAGACCTAGCTTCAGTGTAGACTGTGCCTTCGCTCCCCGGTGTGATGTTGGTCCAGTCCCATAACCTGACCCAGACTCCCCGTTTGTTACACAAGAGGGTTGCACAGTTATATTCCCGCTCACTATTTGAGTTTTAGGGCTCCATTATCGCGGGTGCCGCCCTGGATATTTGGCAGTGCGCTATCCAGAGCCTGTGAGTAGCCACACAGAGCCTACCTCCTGCTCCAAGGACTCGAAACAGAGCACATGGCAAGCGTCTCACCTAAAGTCCCAGGATTCGCTTTGGGCAGTGATTATATCAGAGTTTCTTGGATCTTTCCAGGAGAATGTGCTGGCCATTCCACAGCTATTACTGCCCAGACACAATTCCGGTTTTCCAGTGAGGCAGGTTTAAATACATCTGACCACGATCCACTCTTCATCAAGCAGCCCTGCATCCAACAGGCAAATTAAAGTCTAAAGAGCTGAGAAGACTTAGGAAAGAGGAACCCCATAGTGACAGCTTTCAGTGGAGCGGGTTGGCTCTTCCGTCGCTGGCACCCTCTGCTGCACCTCAGCTGTTGTCAGATGCAGAAAAGAAAGAAAAATTGAGATGATCAGTGAAGTAAGCTTTAGAAAGAAACTAGATTTTTAACTTTGTTTTGGTTTTCTTGTTTGATTTTTTTTAAACAACAGACTGACCAAAATCAGAGAAAATCCAACCACTTTCCCACCTTTTTCTTGAGAAATTGTGTAAGTTTCCATCCTGGAGCAAAAAAACTCCAGCAATGAATATTCCAGAGGCTCAACAGGCTGCTCTCAGATAAAACTGAGTGTTCAGATGAACTGTTTTAATAAAAGCCTTTGAGCATGTGAATTGTGGCGAGTGAAACACAGCCTCTTTTTTGAATAGTTGACTTGGTAGGGAAGGATGAAAAAGAAGACTGTATGAAAGCTACTGGTAATCTTTATTTTTAATTTTGGTCACTGCACTATCCTGTTTACAGAGATATGTGAACATGGTTCAGTCCAAACGGGGATTTGTCTAAATTGCTACTGTCCAATAGAAATATAATGCAAACCACATAGGTAATTTTAAAATTTCTAGTAGCCACATTAATAAAATAAGAAACATGAGCTTAATTTTTAAAATTTATTTGGCCCAATACCCAAAATATTATTTTGCTATATAATCAATATAAAATTATTGAGCTCTCTTACTTTTTTATGCCAATTCTTCAAAATCTGGTGTGTGTTTTACACTTACAGCTCATCTAAATTTGGACTAGCCACGTTCACAGTGCTTGATAACCACGTGTGGCTAAATGGTGACTGTTGGACAGTGCAGGGATAGATGGTGGTTTTTGGTGGCAGTAATGACCACCTGGAGGCAGAAGGCAGCTGGAACACTGACCCTGGGACTAGCGGGTTCAGATTCCAGACCCAGCCCTGTGATCCTGCCCTTGTCAGAGGATTTGGGCCTCCCTTATCCTTGCAAGTCTAAAATTCAAGCTTCTATGCCTCTCCCAGGCACAAAGATCAGAATGTCTCACCTAGTTAGCAGGAGCCCGGAATTGAGAGCCTCCCACCCAGATTTGTCTTTGACTGCTAGAGCCCAACTGCAGAATTTTGGCGGGAGAAGCGCGGTCTCTACGACCAGCTACTGCAGGAGTCGAGCCTTCCTCTGTTTTCTGATTACCAAGTGCTTTGGCAGCGCCATTAACAAGCTGTGACCATAAGCTTGTTAAGTCCCTCTTGTGTCCTCATTTGTAAAATGGGAGTTTGCGACCCCGACCTCACAGGATTCTCCTAAGGTTAAACGAGACAGGGGAGGGGAAAAACGCTTTGTAAACTGTAAAGCGCGGGACATAGGATCGAGGAATGGCTTTAAAATAAAAAAGCACTGCCTTGACACGAAGCCTCCTGGAGCGCCGCGGTAAAGCCCAGGGAAGTGAAAAGATGGAGTGGGAAAGCGCGGGCGTCTTCGCCCCCCACCCTCCTTGTCAGCTTGGGCGACACGCGAGGCTGGGCGAGGGGGGCTTCGTAGCGAAGAGGTGAGATTATGCCGAAAGCGAGAGGCGCGCCAGGAACGCAAGAAAGCTACGGGGCGAAACCGTGTGTACAGCGAGAGGAAAAGAGACCCGCGAGGATCAAGGCGTTGAAGGCAGGGACAACCCTTCTCGGCTTCCCTCCGGCGGATAACACACAGAGCTGGCGCACCGCCCGGCGGGGCAGAGGTAGCGCCTCCACGACCGTGCGCGCCGCCCCGGCTGAGCTACAGCGCGACCCGCGCGCACCCTCTGGAACGCGCGACTCTCGGATCCTGAAAACCTTCCACTGTAGCGTCGCGGAGCATTCCAACTCTAGGCGACCCGAAACCGCGAAACAGGATCTCCTAGTTCTCCATTTGGGGACTTAGAGACGGAAGGTGCGTTTCTTTTTATTTTTTTCACCGTCGTCTTCTTCCTATTATGAAAACAGAAAAAAATCTTTCGCTTCTCTCCGGGCCCTGCACTCCCAGCGTCGTGTGCAAGCGCCCCGGGCTGTGCGTAATTAGCTACGTTCTTACCTAGTTGCCCAAGGCGCGTTAGAATTCGTCCCAGAGCCGTAACATTTATTTTCTCTCAAATTAACTTTGCTCTCAATTAAGCGTAGGAAACCAGCAACAAAAGCAGACTCGGCCTGAGGTCTTTTACGACGAAAATGGAGGTGGGAACCTTCCCGGACTTGTTTAGGGAAAGATTCCCGCGGCCAGCGCTCAGGGGAAGTGGCCCAACCACAGAGGCCAAGCTGGAGCAGGAAGCCGTTCGCTGTGGTTGGCCTTGACAGCGGCGTTGGCCCTCCTCCGCATCTCGGTGACTTGTGTACTGAGAATGGTGAGGACAACCTTGTTGAAATGACTTCTGGACGGTTTGAGCTGAACTACGCACCCGTCACACGAAGCTGCTGTGTGTATATTACCGTTTACCAAGCGCATTCATAAACATTTTAATTTACTACAAGCTTTGTGAGAATTTTCTTTTATTAAATTTTTTTTCTTATTGCAAAGTCGGTACATGGTCGTTGTGAAAAAATAAATATAGGTAGGCAAAAAAGAAAAAAAAGGAAGCCATAGTTGGCCCAGAGAAAACAAGGTTAACACCTCAGTATCTTTTCTAGCTCTTTCGCCTGCCCATTCTCCCCACCCCATACAGGAGGCCTGAGTCTTGGCTTTGCCACTGAATTGCTGAGAGATATTGAACAAGTTCTTGCCTGCACTGGGTGGGACTCAGTTTCACCATCTGTAAAACTAGGGGCAGGCCCCTTTCACCCTTACATTTTCTAACCCCTCTCTTTTGATGGTTTGAATCCAGGACACACCTCTATAAGGACTAGAAGAGAGAAGGGTTGCAGAGAGGCTTAGAGCCAGAGGCATGCCCTCCCTGCCATTTTACACCAAAGACTGAGGCCCTGAGGCCTCAGTGTCCAAGAGTGGGCCATGGACCGACTAACAGAGGCATTTCCTGGCTGCTTATTAGAAATGCAGAATCTCAGGCCCCACTGCAGACCTACTGGACCAGAATCTGCATTTCAATAAGGTCCTCAGGTGACGGCTATGCCTGGGCAAAGAGGCAGAACTTTGGAGAAATGAAAAGGTGTTTCATGTTGTTGAGGTGCAAGACCCCAGAATAATTTCTTGTTTCTGGCCAAGAACCCCAGCACTGCAGCCTACCTTGTGGCTCTGGCTGCAGAGAGGAGAGAGGGCTGGGGTGGAGCACTATGCCTCCTACTTTGGGTGACTTTCTTTCTAGGTCTTGGAAGTTAGGCTGAGCAGTCCTAGAGTGCCTCTCGCCTCATCTCATCTTTCCAGATTTATGGGTGACTGTGACAATCACATTCAACTGGAACGTATCTGAAAGCATCTTGAAAGCTGAGGTCCAGTTAGAGCCAGGGTAGGAACCCAGGCTTCTGACTCCCAGCCGAGGCACTCCCACCTTGGGCTCTGGTCTCTGCCCCCCTAAGCATCTGTCATTTCCCATGTGGGAAATAAACTTGGCCTCTGATGCCTCAGCTCTGACCCTGAGTCTGGGATAGTTGGGTGTTTAGGAGAAAAAGAAGGCTTTCTTTTCAGGACATAACTACCGGCAGGAAGGGGCCCCTATGTCTGAGTCAGTCTGGGCTGAGAGATCCTCTGTTAGAGCATGTTAAGTGCTCCCTTAGACAGGCCAAGGCCCTGGGAGTCCTAACGAGTCCTCCTCCACCCCAAACACACACATTTTTTGGGAGAACTTGGGTTTCTGTGCTCATCCTATTCCTGAGAAGTGCTGACTAGTGGGTAGGAGTTGGTATAGCCAAGTAACTGGAAAAGAATATCCCTGATGAATAGGAATTCAGAAATTCCTTTTCTGTATCATGGGGCAGGGGCCCAGACTGGGGAAGGCACTATTCCCAGGATCACACAGCAACACACTGGGAAAACCAAGACTGTCATCTCAGTGCTCACATCCATTCTCAGTAATAGGAATAAATAGGAATACTGTGAGTACACCTAGAGCTTCTACAGGGCCAAAGAAGGGCCACGTGACTTGCCCAAGATCTTACAGCTATAAATGTCCAAGCCTGGATCAGAACCTATGCCTACCCAGAGGGAAGACTGCATTTGGTTATCATCTTAGTAAAAGGCAAGGTGGAAGATGAAGTAATCAGGCAGGGTTGGGTGTAGCTTGGGGGACCGCCCTGTTAGGTCTTCCACGGTATGGATGGGCAAACTGAGCCTTAACTGGGTAAATAAATATAGAAAGACCTAGAAGGAAAGCCATGGGATCAGTGCTTCTCAGTCAAATTTAGTAGTAAACAAAAGAAAAAATGGGGCAGGGGGAGACAGGGTTCAATGAGCTTGGTGCCTGGTCTGCCCCCCGCCCTCTCTCCTGCATCGCCTCTTCCAGGCCTTCGCAGAGCTCCCTAAGTGGTCTTTGCTGTTTGGCCTCAGGAGAGGGTAACAATCCGCTCTCTTTAGAGTTCCCTGTTCCCCCACCAGCCGCACACTGCCTCTGTGAGAGCCCAGGCTCAGATTTCCAGCTCAGCCCAGAAGAGTTAGCCTGGCAGCAGCACTGTCGTCAGGGAAGCTGGGGATCAGCAGCCAGCCCCTCCCAGGGTGAGGACAGGATTGGGAAGGCGGAATGGGGTGGATCTCAGCCCTGCCTGTCTCACTGAGAATCTGGAGTGGCTTCTCCCGGGTGTGGGCAGAGCAGAGCCCCAGCCATGGTTTTTCAGGTGCGGAGGCTTTCAGCAACCCAGAGGTAAAGAGTGAGAACCACAGCCTAGGATTGCTTACCTCCTACCTCTGCGCTCACTGTTGACACACCAGCAGACAGCCAGGGCCTCCCCTGGGTGTCCGTGTCTCCTCCCTCCATTCTGCCCTTACTGCCAGCCGGCCTCACTTTTCTGAGGCTGAGCTCCAGTCCTGCGGGAGCAGACTCCTTGCTGTCTGCAGGAGAAGGCTCTTCATCTTGTCCTCAGGACCCTCCTGATCCCGATGCCAACCTCTTCACAGCCTCAGCTCCCATAGCTGCCCTTCCTGCACCCCTAGGCTCTAGCCAAACACACCACTTGCTGCTCCCCAGCCACCCCACACATTTCTGTCATCATGCATTTGCTCTGACCACTCCCTCTACAGGAACCGCTCAACTCCATCTCATGCCTCTAAGGCCACTAGCCTTGTAGGAGCCTCCATCATCTCTCTCCTGGGTCACAGCCCCAGCCTCCTAAGAGGGCTCCCTGTTTCCTTCACTGCTCCCTTCAACAACAATCAGTGTGACTCATCCAGTGTCAGTCAGAGGTCCAGACCTCAGAACCAGGGAGTGCGGTTAGCAAAAGGACTCAGTCCTGAGCAGTCCTTTCAAGGGTCTCTTACACTATATACATACATAAACCAAAACCAAATCCACTTCCGTCTAGTCGATTCCAACTCATAGCTGACCCTATAGGACAGAGTAGAATGCCCCACAGGTTTTCCATGGAGCAGCTGGTGGATTCAAACTGCTGACTTTCTGGTTAGCAGCTGAGCCCTTAACCACTGCACCACGAGGGCTCTATATACATATATACATACATGTACACCTATACACATACATGCATACATATATATATATGTATAGTGTTTTCAAAAAGTTCTCCTCCAAATGGTTGCATTGGTGTATGTTTTGCTGTGTACATTCTCAAAAAAAGAAAAAAGAAAATTCCCCTCCTATGTAACACTGCAACTTTTCAACAAAGCTTCATACAGCTGTTCAGCCTTGTGTAAAGCAGAGCTGCCCACACTTCCTCTGCACTGTGCTCGGAAAGAATAGTGCCCTACCATAGGACCGTGTGCAGGAGTTACGGTGGTAGAGCTGGGAGCTACCAGATGGAGCATGTTGAGGACAACTGTATGGTGGGCAACTCTGGACAAAAATAATACAATCTACCCTTTTTCTGATATATTCAAAAAGAAGGTGTGTGACACTACAGTTGTCTACCCAACCATCATTCCTCCTTCTTTGCTCACCAAAACAAGCAAACAAACAAAAACCCATTACTGTTGAGTTGATTCTGACTCTTTGCTCACAGCACTCTGATTTTGTCCAGCTTTCTGTTGGTCGAGTGTTTTAGAGGAAGTTTTGCCTCTTGTCTGTCCCAGGGGGTCAGTCTTGACTTCTCTAAGGTAAACATCACTGTTGCCAATGATTGATTTAGAAATGGGCACAAAATACATTCCTGGCCAAGGAGACATCCAAGAAAGTCTGCTGGGGGCTTCTGAAGGGAAACATTGCTCTTAAAAAGAGGCAAAAAAAAAAAAAAAAAGAACATTGCCATCAAGTTGAAGTAGAATGGCCCCATGGGGTTTCCAAGGCTGTAGTCTTTATGGAAGCAGACTGTCACATCTTTCTCCCACAGAGTCACTGGGTAGGTTCAAACTGCCAACCTTTCAGTTAGCAGCTGAGCAGTTAACCACTGTGCCACCAGCGATCCTATGGGACAGTTCTACTCTGTCCTACAGGATTGCTATGAGTTGGAATCGACAACAGTGGGTTCGGTTTTTTAAAAGAGACGGGGAAGAGAAAAAGCCCTTTCCTTTCCTATTTATGGATATTGTTTGCACATTACACCTGGAAGTATGGCAGCCATGTTGGACCTGGAAGGG